CTTATACTCTAAGTTCTTCCACAAAGTCAAACTTACACAATAATTAAATTCTGATATCTTACAGAACTGCAAATGGATGCGTGGAATGTGCATACGTTGTGTGTGAGCGAACTTGAATCCGATGAGAAGGGTAATGATACATTTTAATGTTCGTAGAAACATTGCAGATTCATCAAGTGCTATATAAATCCAGAATATTACCATTATGATAAAATTATATTGAAATATAAAGTATATTAATTATTTCACATGTAGGGCTTATGTACGGGTCAATGTACATAATGCGACTTGCCTGCACAAACAACTGTATCAATATAGGAACAGACATTCCATGTTAATATTAATATAATATCGGTTTATTCAGTATGCCCCCAGGGCTCAGTCATTTGTTTGTAATACTGAAGGTTTCACACATATTTTGCAACATTATGTTTGTTGTTGTTGCTCCCCGATTGTGGAACAGTCTCCCTAACACACTTAAGTGGATAGTTTCAAGGCCTGCCTGAAAACTTATCTAATGGCCAACTTGAACTAATATCATCTTCTTCTTTTGTATAACCATGTGTAATGTAATGTAAGCAAAATTGTATCTAAGTATATTATGTAGCTCATTGTAAGCGCCTTGAGCACCCTCTGGGTGGATATGTTGCGCGTTATTAATGTCTGTATTAATATTACAGCTCATGAAAATGTTGTTTTTGTTGTGGCTGTTGTAGTTGTGGTGCTGGTTTGTGATGTAGCTGTGGTTGTGGTTGTTGTTGTAACAGTTGTTGCTGGGGTGGCAGTGTTGTGGTTTTATTACATGGAGACGGAGGGTATATGCCTGCCTCTTCATTTGACATGAAAGGTCATAAAAACCATAGCCTCAACCAACATATTACTGATTCGATCCCCTGCATGTACCCTAATACAGAGAGCCTGACTGAGAATAAGTCTGCATCTAATTGAAAGTGATATCAAGCTTTCTATCAAACAGGTATCTTACAGATGTACATTTGAGTAAAGCGATGTCACACAGTTTGCTCACCATAGGTTGCGTTGGTAATAGGCGTCCTGGGATAGCTTAAACTTTCAAAAATAAGAAAGCAAACGTATTCCCCATATTCGAGTGGATACACACTATCAACATCAAAGACAACAGCCTGTTCTGACCCTGATACAGTGCTAGATCTCCTGGTGATTCCTGTGCTGGTATAGGTGCTTCCAGTACGTCTGTAAAGATCAACTGAGGATGCATCGGGAAGTGGGTTACCCTCAACATAACATGTGAAGCTAGATGGTTGGTATGGGTTCACTCTCACTGGAACCAATCTGGATATTCCTGTCAAGAACAAAGAAAAGAAAAACATTAAATAATACACACAATTTTGAACACAAAACCTGCTCGCTTTATGTATTTCACATATGGCAAACAAATCCTATATGCACTTTTTAGAACATTAATCAATCGTGATATTCAAAAATAAGAAAAAAAATTCTTAAAAAGAATGACCAATTACTTATAATTTTGAAATTCGTGTCAGCAATATAATGTTCCAACCCGGTCACTTCATAATAAGCAAGATAAAAATATAAAAAACTTGCACATGTACATACAGGTGTACCTAAATAAGGGGAGATATAAATCTGATTATTTTGTTTAAAATCCAATTGCGTCATATTTATCAATGCAATAGTTCTGGTATGCAAATCACTCATGCTAATATGAAACTTCTGTTTGTACTACAAAGACATCCCAATAACCGATAATCATTTCAAGAATATGTTGTGGATCTATTCACTACGTGTATAGGGTAGGAGAAACTTCCTTAACATATGAAATGGACTTTATAAAGAGAAACAACAAAAAATAGTTTGTAAACTAATGTGTACATGTTCAAGTGTCTACAAAAAATAAATAAAATAATAATGGTCATTTATATAGCGCCGGTATCTGCCAAGTGCTGACACTCATTGAGCTCTGAGGTAAATTTGCTAAAGGAATCACACTAAGAAGCAAAAGTGTTTTGAATTGATGCCAAATTCATAGCATTGCGAAGGGGAAGCCTTACTGATCAAATACAACAACTTCCCTCTTCAAAATATGTTTGGGGCCCGCAGTAATCGACTCTCAAAAATGTTAGTTTTGAGATCCAGATTTTCTGCCTTCGCGGTCCTTTGTAGAGCGTCAATATTTGTGACGTCACATACGGGACACGGCTGGCTAGCTGCATACTGCTACACGGCACTGAGCTGTTCGTCCAGTGTGTGACGTCACAATTCAGAGCTCGCTACGCTTGTGTGTTTGACTTATGTTTAGGGTCTAAGAAGGGTTTTGAAAAATTGCATTTTACGCCTTTCCATGATATCTATATGATTTCTCAGCAAATTGTTCGTGTTTTTCAATAGAAAATCTTTCCATCCATATGTAATTTGTTCTAATTATGAGTTGTTAGTGAATTTTCTTTGTGTAGCTCCTTTAAATTTAAGTAAGGTAAAAGTACTTGCTCCATAAGCCTATTGAGCAAGATTGTGAATTACGGCTAAACGTTATAAAATACATGCACACATAGTTTCATATGCACTCCGAGGTGTTTGAACGTTTTACAGCAGAAGAAGAAGACAAACCAGATCACAATATGCTGGGTATAATTACCTTGAAGGCAGTAAGGTTCAATCCAGCTATCAAGGCATTGTCCCTTGCAAAGACCCCTCTCCGTCTCGCAAGCCACTGGAGCACAATGACATTGCTGAAGACAATCCAAACCAAAGGTACTCCCTTCACACTCTGCAAAAATAACACAAAAGTCATGTTTATTGGAAACATCTGGTCAATGATAATCATTGATTACTACAGAATAATATAACTTTGGCTGGGGTCTACTGGAAACAGGGTTGTAAACACAAAAATCTAATTATTTCAATCAGGTGAAACGAGTAGATTTTCTTCTGACTCATGTCACTGTGAGTTAGTTTAATTTAAGAAGTGAAGGTCCATTACTTCTAAAAATCTGTTGCAGCCAGCAGTTCAGGGACCACCTCTAGATCTGCTGTTCTCTCGATTACTACTTTCAGGTGGACAATCAACAATTGCTGGCTGCAACTCTTCATTTTAAGACAATAACTTATAGTCACAACTAGGATACAGATCTCTCTCTCTCTCTCTCTCTCAGTCGCTGCTACAGAATAGAGCTGAGGATTGCTATGTAATGCATTAGTAGGTATTCTATGGAGATCAGGCGTTTGCTCCTGGGACAGTTGTTCTGGGCTGTATTTCATCACAGGTATTCGTTAGGGTTCGGGTTGCAATTGGGTTTTATTTAAGGTTCATGGTTAGGGTTAAGGTCATTGTTGGGTAAAGGGTCGAAGCTAAGAACTTGGTTTGTGTACGATAATGACAGGAAACAAGTATCGTACACCAAATAATGATTGCGGATTTTGGAGGTCATAATTTAATAAACTCTTGAGGCAGAGTACAGTTTCAAGATAACCATGGGCAACAGTTTCAACATGCTCTTCAAAGCAGTCAATATTTGTATACTAGAATCCTCCTCCGGAGTATACATTATAATAATGTATTTACTATCGCAACACTACATACATAGATGTGGTTGATATGACCAATGCACATACATGTATTTATGAGTGCTCAAAAATGTGTACAAAAAACAATCCTGGTGTATGATGCACACTGCACCATACTTGATGTACATGTTGTGTGTAGTCTGGAGATAAATAAATAGTATTTGATATTGAAAATTCAACACTCTTTATTGAAAAATAACATTTTACCTTGACATTTGACCTCATCATTGCGTACTTTGTATCCTAGAGCACACTTCTGCTCAGGGCACTCTCCAGTATCTTTATCACATGGTTCATCATTCAAGCAATGACATTTATCAGTGCATTGAGATCCATAGTAACCGTCTTCACATTCATCAGGAACTGTGTGGATGATAAGAACTTATTTTAGAAGTCACAAGTTAGCAATTACTACTAGTAAATAATATCAGATGTGATACAGAATATATCAGATGTACTTCACAAATTCAGATTGCTTCTATTGCAAAAGTTCTTGTTTTTTTCTTTACAAAATTGATTTAAATTATTACACATATTCTTGAGTTTAATAGAGCCTATACTAGTTAAATTCATGTATTCATAGAAAGCATTCATCTCCTCTATCAATAAACATGAATATAGCATACACAAGGAGTTGTCCACAAACCACCACTTGGTGCGGGTATGTCTACGAAAATAGAAAATATAATAACCTCAAGTAATAATATAATTGTGAATTATCTTATTCCAAATGGGTACAATTCAGGCACCCAAGGTCCTGTAGGCAATTGGGTTAGACATTAAACAAAAGAACAACAATTACATAGCTACATGCAGTGTACAAGTACAATTCTGATTTATCTTACTTTTTAGTAAGAGGGCATTTATGTCATATCATTTGTTATCATTGCACCATGACTTACTTTGACAGTTGTCCCCAGACCAGCCAGTCTGACATCCACCAGTACATATTCCACTGTAGATGTTACATGATGATCCACCTACACAGTGGCATGTCTGTGAACATCCCGGGCCATATGTATTACTAGTAGGAGTACAAACTGTAAAAGAATTCAAAATGCAAAATCAAGATGGATAGATACAATACATTCGAAGGAAAGAAATATTGTGCATGTTACAATAACTTCTTATTAATCCTCTTCTTCTTATCCTCCTCCTCCTCCTCCTCCACCTCCTTCTTCTTCCTCTTCTTCTTCTTCTTTTTCTTCTTCTTCTTCTTCTTCTTCTTCTTCTTCTTCTTCTTCTTCTTCTTCTTTCTCTTCTTCTTCTCTTCTCCACTGAGTTGCGCCTGACCTTACTCATGAATCCAGCCATGTGCTTTTGATATTCCAAGAAAAATTATAATTCTCTGAGAATTGCAGATGCACATGTAAATGAATGATACATTTTAGGCCTCCTAGGTAAATGTAGTTTCACTATTATAATTTGAGCAAAAATTAATAGAATATTGAAGACTTACGTGTGTTACATGATAGACCATAGGCACCGACGTCACATGAACATCCATAAGGATCAGGTAGGCAAAAAAGATACCCATGACAGTGTGCGACAGGATCACTGGCACTATTTGTACATCGAAACTCGCAGTTCAATCCGTATCGATTTCCACCACCATTTCTACAAACTGAAACAAAAATTAGTTGCATTGTTGAATCAAAACCTTATAGACTTGCATAAGAAAAAAGATTTCATAAGATAAATTTCAAATATGGTGCTTCTCCTTTGCGAATTACCGATGGTGTCTAATGCTCTTTAAAAATTATATTTTTTACTACATTGAATCAAGCCATCCAATATCAAGGATAGCAAATTTGTCGATCATAAACATTAATGTTATTGATACATTTATTTAGATACAATTTAGATATTTTATATGGTATTAAGGAATAACAACCAAAGCAAATGTTTTTCCCTGCTGTTTATTATTTTTCATTCATTTTTGCACTGATTCACTTGATGTACAGTGTATATATAAACATTACATGAACATGTTGAATGAACCGCAGCTCTGGTAGAGCGGGACACTTTACAAAGTATTTACAAAGTCATTTTACTGCTAAGAAGACATGAGAGATAATATATTATAACAAATCAGAAATCTACTATAAACAGAATCATAAATTATAAATCAACATTATTCTTTCAAATAATTCCTGGTACAATGAAGATTTACAAGTACATATATTAGAATGTCGTCAGGTAGAAGAAAGACATATTTGAAATTGAACATGTAGAATGTAACGCCCCCTTAGTGGTATAGGGTGCTAAAATAAAAGAACACGAGGAGAAACAATAGATGGTTGTGATGCTATAGTGTCAAGACGTGGAATGGCCATTTATTATCAATATAATAAACACAGAAACAATAATAATAAACAACATACTGTATTCATAGACAGTATCAAGGCAAATAATCTTTACCCATGATAATATTGACTCATCCAATCATTATCTAGGTAATATAAAAAGTAATTGTAATAGCTCATTTTGTGACTATTAGACATTTAACCTCCTAATCCCTTTCATGTCCATCATAATAATCAAAATGACTAAACTGCTAAAATAACTACATGATTGTATTTACAGGTTCATTCATAACGAAGTCTTTCATATGAATCTAAAATCAGCTTACTAATCAATTCCAACACCAATCATAATAACCTAATTGAATTGGTAAAGCAACATCAAAATACTTTAAGGACTTTTCTCTTTCCTTTTCTATATAAAAGCACAGGTTAGATAATGGATTAATTTAGGTAAAATATCAAACATGGTTCAGACTGTTTAAATGCTCTGAATAAAGTAAACTCCAATTTGGGGGGAGTCTCACAAGTGAAAACAAGATGGCTACCTTGATTCTAACAAAGTATAATAATCAGCATAATTAAACAACAGCCCTCTCCAAAAGGAGGGTGAAAAAGGAATTCTCTCCCTATGCCAGTACATGCATTTTATAACTAGGAGGAAACAAAGAACACCTTCTTCCAAAACAAAGTTATCACTCTCTCCGTGACTATTCTACTTCTCAGCCTCTTTATGGCTGAACCCTAGTCTTTACAACGCAGAACCTATCACGTTCCCTTTTCTGCATGACAAACTGCATTAGAAGTAAATAGCTACTGTACAAAAGAATATATAAATACTTAGCGGGTCTGATTAATCAGACTAACCTTACTAGAAGGAGATTACTGGTCTCCCCACTGTCCAACCACATGGTCGTTATCTCTCTCTAATCTCTCTCTCTGCCAGCGCAAGAGTTTATGTGGACCTAGGCCCTGTTTACATCTGATATATTTACATCTTTAACACACTGGCAATGCTCACTAGTACTCTTGACAATAACTATGGGTTTGTTCACATATACCTCCAAATGGATATAGCCACTTTCACATTCAATGTCAACTTGGTGACACAACACACACTATCATGGTACAGGACCTATTCACATCTAAATCATTATCCGCCTTAAGTTTGCCTACACTTATATAGCTGTATATCGATAGGTACATTTCCAGCATTAATGTATCCAAACTACTCAAATCATTCTATATGCTATACTGCATTATCTTAATGATTACCAACTTGCTTTAGGTTGTAATAACATTGATTTTGATACAGATGTAAAAGATTGTATCCAAAATACCAACTGAAGCACTCATCCAACTCTCACATATCCATCTCCCAAAACGCATCCTATTATCCAGATTTACATGCATGGTATATAAAAGCAACTTGTAATTAAATGAGTGTAATATCATAATATTATACAAAATAACAAAATATAAAAAGGTAGGAATATATTGTCTTACCTAAAATAAAAGAACACGAGGAGAAACAATAGATGGTTGTGATGCTATAGTGTCAAGACGTGGAATGGCACATGGGCACTACAATCACTCATTTAGTCCCTCCTCACATGGTATCCTGGACTCTTCCATTCTTTGGGCGGGGTTTGTGTGTCCTCTAAGCTGGAAAGGGGCAAATGCTTTCCCACTTCGATTGCATAATATACTGACTGATCTATACTGTACTTACAGTAGCTTTCTATCAGAGACATAGAGTCTCTACCCAAAGTAAAAGATACAGTATTGATACAAGTATATTAAAAAAAAGGGGGGGGGGTACAAATTTCTACAAAATTATTCTTTTGCAGGGATCACACTCTTCCCCGCTAAAAGAAATGTCGTCCTCGACATTACAAACACAATAATTCGAAATATAACATTACAGTTACAATAGACAAGAGAATATAGTATTCAATATGAATGAAAGTCATTCGTAGCCAACAAATTCCATCCTGGTGACTGTTTCCGATTTCGTGTACTTCGCTTAAATGGTGTGCACAGTCCATAAAGTTAGTATCCGCAGTCTCTGAGACTAAAATCGTTTCAACAGTCCATAGTAGTTAACTCCATCAGGACAGGTTGCTGCACGGTTATCAGAGTGATGTTCCTGTATCGGTGGTTGACAAGATGAGCTATGTTGCAGTCTTTACTCGGTTGCATAACATAATATAAGAATTTATATTCCTGTTCTCATCCGTGAACCCGTTACACAGCGCTGTGATTTTCCTCTCGAACATCTGCTCCAACCTACTCTCTGCATGCTTTCAGTTCATTGTTTTCAAGTACATAATTACAGTTATTGTTCAAACAAAGTTTCAAATCAATTGCTCTTCAGTCGTTGACACAAGGGGCTGATTTCGGACATCTTCTCCATGAAAATATCTGCCGCAGTCTCTTTCCACGATGTCCTATTCATGATTTCGGTGTCCGAGCTAGACATGTACGGTCCAGTGTTCAGTGTTCGGATAGTTCAAATGTTCAATGTTCGTATTTTCAAATGTTTACAGTAGTTCTCTGGCTGAATGTCGATTGTGGGGCGGTGGTCTTTGTCATCTATGGCTGCCATTGTTGGAATTGTTCCGTGTCCCACGCAGGCCTGGAGATAAACGAAGGCATTTCATTGGGTATACGAACCTGCTGCTGTCCTCTCGGTAGGCCAGCATCCCATGACCAGGGGTCTGCTTGCTGCATCATCCTCTGGTGTGGATGCGGGTAGTACAGTCCTGGTTGTCGATCCATCCTCTGGAGCTCAGCTTGCACCATGTTGACATTGGGGTCCCGTCGCCATTGCTGGGGCTCACCAAGCTGAGTGTAGGTTAGAACCGGCGGAGGTTGTCTCATGCGTGGTGGTTTCCGACGATTCTGCTGTGGAGGGCTGCAGTCTTCTGGGTCGTAGAGGTCAGCATTCAGTACCCTATCACCCTGCTCTAAGGGGAGTGGATGTAGTCCCTTGTCTCGGGTTTTCTTTGTAGCCTCTGCCTTTACCTGCGATGTCTGCTTTGCCAGGTCATAGGCTTCCCTCCTGGCTGTTTTCCATCTCTGAGCAGATGTCTCTTGGTCACCAGTTGTGGTGGGCAGCTGGCTTGTCCTCTTGAGGATGGAGGATCTCTTCAACGTGTCTTCGGCCTCTTCCTCAGCTGGCTGGTCTGGCTCTGGCTGGCTGGGTGGGTCTCTTGGAAGTTCAGTGGTCCTGGCCTTCAGCTCAACCACATGTTCATCTCCATCTTTGTCCACCTTCCCCAGGATCTTGGCTACACCCTGCCACACTGACTCGCCTTCGTCCTCTGAATCCTCCAGCTCCTCCCTAAATAGGAAGCGTCTGATGACCCGCTTCAGTCCTACTCGCCCTTTCGACTTGGCCTTCCCCACGACTTCCTCAGATAGCTTGAGCTCCACTGTCACCTTTAGTAGCTGCTCCTCCGTGCTCGCTGTCAATCTTTGATGCACATCGTTCATCAGGTCCACAAATCCTGCCATCATAGATAGCTCTGGAGTCGGCCTTCTTGTCAAGCTATCTCTGGAATTGGGTAGGGCCTCGTCTAGGGCTGTTCGGAGATGTTGGAGTTGGGTGGAGTCGCTAGGGAGAACTCGTACACCATCTCAGCATCATCCGGGCAGTGCCTCCAGAAATGTAACGCCCCCTTAGTGGTATAGGGTGCTAAAATAAAAGAACACGAGGAGAAACAATAGATGGTTGTGATGCTATAGTGTCAAGACGTGGAATGGCACATGGGCACTACAATCACTCATTTAGTCCCTCCTCACATGGTATCCTGGACTCTTCCATTCTTTGGGCGGGGTTTGTGTGTCCTCTAAGCTGGAAAGGGGCAAATGCTTTCCCACTTCGATTGCATAATATACTGACTGATCTATACTGTACTTACAGTAGCTTTCTATCAGAGACATAGAGTCTCTACCCAAAGTAAAAGATACAGTATTGATACAAGTATATTAAAAAAAAGGGGGGGGGGTACAAATTTCTACAAAATTATTCTTTTGCAGGGATCACAAGAATATATGTAAATACCATTTTCTATGCAATACGAATATCTTCCTCAATTCATTAAAGCAATCGATACCAGTATCCGCCAGGCTCTAACGCTCATGGAACTTTGCACATATTACCCTGGTTATAGCCGAGCTGCCAGGTAACTAGCGCTTATTAAGAGATAAGCATCATTCAAAATGAAGTTCTACAGGCCTACTTACTTTCTAAACAATTCGGTCCCTTGAAGTTGTTAGGACAGATACATAGACCAGACTTGTCATCACAGACTCCACCATTGTAGCATTTATCACAGATACCATAACACTCAGGGGGACCCCACTTACCAGCAGGGCATTCTATCGGAGAAAGGAAGGGAGAACAATAATTATTATGCATGTCACTAAAGATTACATCATGACATAGATGAACGAAAGATAGAAGATAAGCAGGGGAGTATAAAACGGAAGTAGAACTATAGCTGCTCTGTCACATTTTGAATATACATACGGGTAATTTTAAACAACCTTTATTCAAAAATTCAAATCGCAGATCATGACATGCTTACACCTGAATTTTATCATTTGAAGTTTTATGAATCTTTTGAAATGAAATGTGCAATAGGGAAAGAGCTGTCCATCTTAGGATAACGCGCCATCCAAGACAATCAGACTTGGACATTATTTACCAGAATGCTCTAAACATTTTTTTTTTAAGTGTTCACATTCATTTTTTAAATTAATAATGAATTGTAAATGAATATGGAAAGCTCATTATGCACATGTAACTTGCATAATAATCAAATTAATCTAAAATAAAGGTTTCTTGGCAAAGTAAGAAGCAATTCTTTTACATGCATCATAACAAACAATATTATCTTGGCGAACAAAGGACACCTTTCAAGAAGCCCTATCTGAATTAGGCAGGAAAACACTTATACATGTACCTCTGACGATGAGTCTGTATATTCCTCCTCTATTTAGACTCCTCTCGTTATCATAGTAGATCTCATAGATTCCTTGGTCTGATGTCTGGATTGGGTTTGGGAAGCTGATCTCAGTCTGCCCATCAAATGATGTAAGAACCTCACTTCCATCTTTCATCCAAGTAATCATACTGCCACTCGCATCAGGACTATAACGACTAGTCATGCTGATCATCACTCCGGTCTCATTCACATTCACTGTCTTTGTAAACCATCCATCACTCGATGTGAATTTAGCTTTTAAAAGGGGTGATAATAATAAATTAACAAAATAACAAAGGTTAACTTTAATACATTTACCATACATGTAATGTACATGGCATGTGCACTGTAGCCATTTACTCACTAAAGGAAACAAAACATTTATATAGGCCTTGCATACATGTACATGTATATTGAAATATATATAGAAAAATATTTACTTGCATATTGGAATAAATTCGTTCCTTTTGATATTTTTCAATAATAAGTTTAGATCATTTTCAATATTCGAACATTGCCGCAACTAGTCTGGTGTATGTCAAAATCTTTGGACTTCTGTTTGACAATGTTAATGTTAGTAAACAACATCAACATAAACGGGCATGTTCAGGCTTAACGCATTGCCGTGCATTCTTTGCTTATGATAACTTTTTGAAATTGTGTGCTATTTACACAAAAGTCTGAAAATTTCTTTAAAAAATCGTTCTCTGTTATATTCAGAATCATTCTCAGTATATATGTAAAAAGCATCTAATCTTTGTTATAGCCATTATCAAGCATTAAATGTTCAAAAGCATCGTAAGCATTGAATCACTCTCACTCCTGATTCTCAGTAAACCATTTTGCGTTATAAACGCCTCTTTGCCAAAAAAATCCACAGTACCTGTTTTTACATTTTTTGATAGTTCATTGTTGCAGAAAAAAAGTTTTTTACATTGTATTTTTAAGTTATATTCAAGACTTGGATTTATACTATTGCAAATGCGATTTCTGCCCTTAACAAGTCCTGAACCAAGATGTAAAAGTAGAGGGAAAAAACCTTAGATATGATCTTTAGATTTTTCTTTGAATACTAATAACAATAACAAAAATGTAAATTCTGTAGATTTGTGACCATGATTTGAACGTTCCTTGATAAATCAATGCCAGGAATGGTTCGAGGAAATAGTGGCATGAACAGCCTGCCATAGTTCAAGTCCAATTTATATCGATCATAGTCTTTGTGAAACACTCCCCGAGATTTCACAGATTTGTTGCAGTGTCAATGCAATCTTCGGTAAAGATACCCATTATCGCTGAAATGACTCTCCTCGCTTCCATGGTAACACAAGCAGAGCACCGACAAGTGGCACATGCGCACTACTCACAAACAAAATTGGTATGGTTAAACTTCAACGGTTTTGTTACAGGTTTTTTCCAGTGGTGTAAATGGTAGTCACAAAAATTGATGATTCTTCAAATTGGTGTTTGGGATGTGCAAATGGGCCTAGTAATGTATTGTTTTCACCGCGGATCCCTCCGTGATGTTCCATGGCAAATAATACGACGGTGTTCATGATTTTTTGTTAAACCTTGCTATATCTTCGTATTAAGGAGGTTTCTCTAATATTTCAGGAATCTCCTAAATGCAATGTAAGCTCAGTCTATATTGTTAGAGATAGATAATGGTTTATTGATCGCTCAAGAAAAAGAGTTTCTTACATTGAATTGTTAAGTTATATTCAAGACTTGGACTTTTACTACTGCAAATGCGGTTTCAAGTCCTGAACCAAGATGTCTAAATAGAGGGAAAAAACCTTAGAAATGATCTTTAGATTTTTCCTTTTGATAATTAACCATAACAAAATGTAAACCCTGTAGACTTGTCACCACGACTTGTACGTTCCTTGAGAAACCAATGCCAGGAATTGTTAGAGGAAATAGTGGCATGAACAGCCTGCCATAGTTTAAGTCCAACTTAAATCGATTTTAGTCTTTGCGTGGTTGTTTTAAACGCCTGCCAAGATTTCACAGATTTTTTGCAGTGTAAATGCAACCTTCGGTAAGATACGCATTATCGCTCACATGACTCTCCTCGCTTCCATGGTAACGCATGCAGAGCACCGACAAGTGGCACATGCGCACTACTCACAAACAAAATCGGTATGGTTAAAATTCAACGGTTTTGTTACAGGTTTTTTCCAGTGGTGTAAATGGTAGTCACAAAAATTGATGATTCTTCAAATTGGTGTTTGGGAAACATGTTTAAATGGGCCTATAGTAATGCATTGTTTTCACCGAGGATCACTCCGTGATGTTCCATGGCAAATAATACGACGGTGTTCATGATTTTTTGTTAAACCTTGCTATATCTTTGTATTAAGGAGGTTTCTCTAATATTTGAGGAATCTCTTAAATGCAATGTAAGCTAAGTCTATATTGTTAGAGATAGATAATGATTTATTGCTTAACAAACATCATCATTACAGCAAAGCAGTATTGCGAAGAGTTTAGAATGCTCAAAGTGCGGATTAAACTATTAACAAAAATAACAATTAATTATCAACAAATAATACCTTAATTTTTCTCGTATAACAACATGTAATGTTCGATTCCATATTCTACATAACAATTTTTTTTTTAGAAATTGGAATTGTGATTAATGTTATTTATTCCGTCCTATTAACAAAGCGTGATACTGCATGTACACTTACTTACTGATCTGTCTGAAATCATGTTTCTATTGATATCACGTGCTTGGGATGAATAAATGATAACATTCATCGGCAATTCAGAAATGAACTCTGATTAATTTGGATTATTCATGTATGACGTACATGTACATGTAATATACATGTACAAATCTTAAATCTATAAAAGATAACACTATAAATTCTATGAAGCAAGGGAAATAGAATTGTCCTTAATTTTAATAATTCAGTTATAATTATATATATCTATATACAAATTTGTCAGTTTTACCTGTTCAGGTTTGAAGTAGTAAACAGGATATCTGACAAACAATTTATGAATTTCAAAATTATCAATATAAATACTAAAATGTTTTCCTTAAATTAACATCATAATGACCTCACATGGGATATGCTCAAAACTTTACTTTGACTACTTCACTACAAGAAGCTTCTTTAGTATACGTTAAAGAATAAATCTTTAAAAATAAAGAAATCCTGTACTTATTATAATGAATGGAATATTAATCTTTAATACCATCAATTCGTTGGAAAAAAGTAGTAACCCTTGTAACATCTCGATCAGGTTTAGAAGCCTCACAGTAGAAAGGTCCGAAACCATCTCTATCCCATCCATCTCCAGTAGGGAATACGACCTTTCTGATGAATGCACTGCCAGCTCCTGTATGAATCACATCTTCTGGTGGTGATCTGTCTGTTGTTATGGGTGCCGATCGACGAAATGACAGTGTAGCATCTGTATCTGGGTCACTGGGGTAACATTGATACTGACCACGAGATGAACCTACTCTGGTGTATCCTGCGGTCACCACTGTGATATGAACAACCTCACCTGCAACATAAAAAATACACAGAAATTAACTGTTGCACGCATTCAGGCACTGCATTTGAAGGACTCAGTTATAATAAAAGAAGCGTACTGTTGCATTAAGATTCATTCATAATGCAAATATACATAGTTATTAAAAATCATAATTTTATTGCAGATTTGTAGAAGCACATCATTAGTACTTGGAGCTGCAAAATAACATAACTGCCATTGAGATATTACACTTGTTAATACACCAATTTTAGTCTCATAAATGTATGTGTATGTACACTGGGAAAGACATGTTCATTCAATACCTAACCCTGTGTTGATCAGGAACTTAATGCATTTAAATATCAGTGTAGCATGTTTTGAGAAGCAAAATATTCATATCAGAACTAATTAGCCCCAGACATGTAGTTAAGAAATACTTGGGTGAAGAAGGTACAGATAAATCATAGAAATAGTCCAATGAAAAGAAATCTTCATCCTAAAGCACACTTATATAACCAACATATCTTTTTACAGTACTTCAAATTATACCTTCACTAAGACAACTACCAACTAAAAAAAAAAAAACATCCTTCACCTGCAACATTAGCAAGACTTGATATAATATGGCAAAACTTTTGACAGGTACATAAATCAGTATATCCCTTCAATGACATGTACATTCGTGCATGAAATTGGTGTTTCCCTTGAATTTCAACATTTTTTTTTTTGCACAAATACATATCAGTCACAGATCAATTACACACAGTTGTTTACTTAAAGTGAGTATCATTTACAACGTACCATACATCATAGAGATTTTACCAAACAGGAAAAAGGACAAAGATCATATATTTAAGACTGTACCCACATCTATGAGGATTTATCACTGTGATAAAATATGATTGTTACCATCTCTGACATGACAGCAAGATGAATGAGCAAATCAGTTTAAATGAATGTCAGGCCTGCTTTTGTCCAATTTTTAAAGTACATTCTCATTCTCCCCACCCCTTTATTACTGTGTATACATGCCTCTCTAATCTTGAACTCTTGGGTTGCTTTCTTTGCCTCTCAGCATGTCCAATCGTTTATCACATGTGCAGTTTTGCACACAACAATAGGCACCAATTGACGGAAAGATTGCTTTGAGCAACACAATATCTATGCAAAATGCACATTTCTGGTTTTGATGAGCTCCATGACAGCCCTTTCGATACCAGTATAAAAATTAATCTTGCTCTGGGAATTATTGAATAATGTTGAATTCAAAGTGGCACAGGGACATTATTTGCATGGTTTGTGTAGAGTAAATTTCCTGCTAATAATATAAGTTCCTCTCATCCCGTTTGTCCTGCTTTCTCCCATTCGATCTTTATATTGGTTCACGCTTCCCCCTCTTATAGTTTCCTCCATTGCATTCATTTCTTCTCCCTTTCTCTTCTTCAATGAATTATCTTCCTTTGTTTAACTCTTTCTCCCTATCCTGTGAGCAAACGGAAGGGAAGAACAGGGTGAACTGGGACGAAAAAAAGTCCTTGGTCGTTTCCCACATGCAAACAAAAATATTTTTATTCTTGTTGCTATTTTCATTACATTCTGATTGTATTTCCCAGAAGACTTTTTTTTTTTTTTTTTCATGAGAGAAAAATGGAAAATACGCTTTATATGAATATATTTTATAATCATGAAATACAATTCAGGTTAAAGGTAAAGACCAGTATTGGAAACACCCCAACTTCAAAAAATGAAATGGAAGCTCTTATTACCAATCATGTGAAAGCATATGTTTTGACTAATACGCGATAATCAAAATTTTGCCGGGAAACCGCCTACTAATTGATATATTTGGTAAATTAGTTTATCTACATGGTCTGTGAGAGATGAACGCACGTGTCGCGCACGTGTGCGTATAGTTCCATATACATTTTCTGTGTACAGTGCTTGTAACATTACGAAGACTGGGCCAAATTTCTTATCATTTTGATGATTCCAGAACCTTGCAGTACACACTAATACTTATATGCTAGATGATCAACCTTTTCTGATCGATTCCACAACGTTTCTTTCACAATGCAATCGCATGACCATAACTGGTCTTAACCTTTAAGGATTTGGAACAGAAGATAAAAGAAAAAAAATATATTCAGAGTTGAAAAAAAAGTTAATGAAAAAAAAGATTATGTGCTGTTTTTCAGTATTTTTAAAAACTTGAACTTTTTAAGGAATAATCTATTTCAATCATCATGTTTGTTGAAGCAAATGGGAGAGTTTTCAGGCACTATTTCACACAGGTATTATAATCAATTTGGCAATTCTGAAATTCCCATATGGATAGTAAATACAATTTTCAAGTATTCATAACTTTCCCATTTGTCCAAGTTTGTACCAACTTTTATCAATCTACTCATTTGGTATTTCTTGGTTCTTTAATAGCAACTTGCTATTAAAGGAAAGTTCCACCCTAAGATTAAGTCGGTTTTAATAAGCGGGGAAAGTGAGAGAAACAAATTTGTGAAAGTTTGAGCAATAGCAGATTAAAAATAGAAAAATAATGGATTATTGAAGTTGTAATCAGTGAAACACAAATTGGCAACACTGTGACGTATCGTGCAAGCTACTCACCGATTTCCTAAGTACAGAAAGTGTTATAAACTTTTCTTTTCTCAGTTATTGATGACAGAATAGAGTTGTTTCACACAAGGGTTGAATGAAAATATTCCTAAAGTAAAATGTGGATCTTTAATTACTTTTAGTACGTGCACAGGGCAAATGGAAAGCACCTCAAAAGATACGTCACAGAATTGCCAATTTGTGTTTAATTTCTGTCTCATTTCTGCTTCTATTAAAACCATCTCAATATCAGGATGGATTTTCCCTTTAAGATTGGATTCAGACATGTAAAAACATGCACCCCATGCTTAATTAAAGGCATGTTACTGTAAAATATTTACTTCAACTTATGCAATTCATGAACAACTATCAAGCGTGTTTAGATCATGTTCCTTACGTATTTTCCTCTGTTCTTTGGTTATCTGTAAAAACAGCACGAGATGTTAGACGTAAAAACTGAAAAAATGGTTCGCTGATGATTCACAGGGATACCATATTATAATAATATCTGTACAGCGCTGAGAGACGGTATTCAGTATTAATCGCTATATTTTTTTTGTTTGTTTTGTTAAAACAAATGTATTTTAGGGGGGGGGGGGTTCCCTCGAGAACACACACATTAAACAAATTGAGTGGGGGGGGGGGGGGGGTTAAACCCCCAAAACACCCCCCCCCCCCCCCCCCATGCGTACGCGCCAACTTTCAGTTTTTCTATTCTATTTATTGTCACTGCAAATTTAACATTCGTACAAGCATCGTTGAGCCCTCCGCGAAAAAAATTGCCCTATATACGCATATGTTCATATGCCTGTACCATATGGAAACGTTTGCTTGTATTTGTCTCATAAAAGAATATGAGCACGAACTGACTCCCACACGGGGTTGAGTGCTCAGGGGTCACAGGCCAATGGCTTCATCGGGCAGGTAGTTCCATTATGTGAATGGGTAAATTAACTCTTACAAAATGAGGGGACACATTACATTGTACAATAGGGACACACATTGTTTTTATTGTGCAGAACATACTCTTTCATTGACTTACTTATTGCATGAAACTATATAACCAAAATGCATTTTGTATTCTAACAATTGGAGTACAAAGAATAATAACAGGTGAATGAAATGCATAAACACCACAAACACCTGGGGAGGAAGCATTCATAAATTTGAATACATATATATGATAAACGACTCCGATGAAACTATAAAACCAAAATGAAATTTGCGTTCTGGCAATTGGAGTACAAAGAATGATAGCAGGTGAATGAAATGCTTCAACAGCAACACAAACACCTGGGAAGCTAGGAAGCATTCATAAATTTGAATAATTTAGTTGATAAACGACTCCGCATGTGGACGTTTGTTGGAGCAGAAAGCAGTGGATTCTTAACAACACGAACCCATTTAACATAATGTCGGAACGTAAATTAAATTTGGCGCGGTTGGAAAATGCATCTTTCTACCCTGCAACTTTAATGGTACGATCCATTAAATTAAAACAATAAAATGACTCTTATTTAAAAATTACTTGTTAAATGAAACCCAAAACTTCAGTGATATCAGAAAAAATATGTTATATCTTACTAATAATTAAAAAAAGATGTATAAACATTGTGAAAGTGTCGCATTTTACGATAAAAGACACCGATTTAGCAAAGATCACGTCATTAGTGCGCTTGCATCAGGGAATTCAAGGTCAAAAGGTCAATTCAGACGCTGATGAGTTGTTGGTCGAGCATTTTTGTTTCCTTTATTCCGACAAAATTATACAATCAATCAAAACAAGTTTAATACCAGAAGAAAGCTAACGATTAGTATTTTCATTAACCGCTTGCCCCAAAGTCTCTTGACCACAGTGAAACGAGTGAGAGCTTGCGAGAGCGGCCAAAGTGTGATTGAAACTCGCTATTTGCTCTTCTCCAACGCAAAAAGAGACGACATTGTGCTGGATAAATGTATTTTTTTCCGACAAAAGTACAGAAAATTTGCATATAGTCTTTTTATATTATACTTTATGAAATGTTACCCGAGTGACTTCCGGGCGCCCCAATGCTGGAAAGAAACGCACATTTTAGAAAACTTCACTTTTTAATGGAAAAATGTTTATTTGTTCTATGCACGCAAGTCAGATTGAGCGGATGATACAACGTTTCCATATGGGGGTGGCGGAGCGACTTCCAAAATGGGGGAGGAAGGGGCTGATTTTAATTTAGCTTTAAAACAATGTTTCTTGACTACTATCGACCGAGTAGCTATTCCCAGTTTGAAATTATATATCAGAACTGCATATTCTGAGATTGTCATGGTCGCAGCTACCAAGGAATGGCCTTAGGCGCTATTTGAAATGTTTGAAAGGGAGCACCGGTAAATTTTTGATTATTCAATTTTTCCAAAGCAGAAGTGTTTTGGGGGTCAGATTTCCTAGTGCTAATAATACATCCACAGAGGCATCCAAGTACATCAACAATTTAAAAGAATTACTGTCCATCTAATTTCAAAATTTCCCAAAACTTAGCATTACCTTTAGGCCATAGACTTTGCAATTGGGTGATGATCTGAATATTCATTTGCAAGCGAGCGAAGCAAGCGAGGACATTTTGTAAGATTTGTGAGGTCGCAGTACAAAGATTACATCTTATAAAGAGGGGAAAAAAAACAATCATGATGGGGTTATAAGCATATTCTCATAACAGAAGACTGAAAAGACCTGATACGTAACATGATTATATCATCTATAAATGCGAGAGAGCGTAGCAAGCGAGCTTTGGGAGAAGTTGCTCTCAATATTTTTAGATTAGGGGCACGTTTAATGATGAGAGGAAAAAAAGGACACTTATCGAAATTGATAAAACACTTATTAGAAAAGAAAAGTAGCACGTGTCAAAATACAAAGGGTAATTATCAGAGCTAAACATTTGGCAATTATCACATCTGAAAAGAGACACTCACCAAGGATGAACAAAAGCAGTTATGATAATGGAAATGGGCACTTGTCGATGGTAAAAGGGCACCCATCAGATTTTGATCAAGGCATTTATAAGAGGTAAAAAGAGTCATTTTATGAAAAGGGGATAGGTCCCTTAGTAGATAGGAAAATGGGCATATATCAAGGGGAACATCAGAGGGAACAAGGGTAATAGAGGAATTATCAGAGGTGAAAGGGGTCACTTATCGCACATGAAAAGGGGCACCGACCAG